TTAATCTTAATAAATCTTTTCCTCATGGAGGGCCTAATTTAAGTTGACAGAAACGTAAAAACACCGGGACCAGACAGCTATCTCAGCACTGGCGAGTGATAGTAGATAGGATGTCGAAATGGAAAAATTGATGGTCTAGTTGAGCGTTGACAGCTAAACGGTCTGTGGCAAAAACGAGCTGAACTGCACCATGAATCTTTAAACCTTAGACGTATTTACCCTCATTAATGACCAGATGTGACATTTGCCGAAAGACTGTGGTCTAGGATACAAGCGGCAGATTCAATTTTCTTGGAACAATTATTGGAGCGACGAGATCTGACAGAATCCGAAACAAGACACTTTCATGCCGCGATTGTGAGCCACTCCTTCTTTGAATGTGGAGATCAGAACGGCGGGAAATCGCTTGGACGAGATAATGCTTAAGAAGACTACCCAAGCACCATGTTATGGTAAAGAAAGCTACGAAACGGCCTAGCGGCTGATCGTGGATCAGATGGCTACATTACACACAGGAACTTGCATTATAGCGCCTTGGAATTCAGCAGCACCCCCCTGGAATACTGGTATAGCATCATGAAACGGGTGTCCAATGATCCAAAAGGAGTCGGCCTGCCGGTATAAAATTCGATGCATAGCGGTGACGGAACTGTGTCCTCCTGAAAGGAGGACGCTTGACCTGCAGTATCGGTGGCTGTTCTGATGGCCGCTCAAAAGTAGACTGCGACGTGCCGATATCGATACCTTCCTGCCCTAACGATAAACTTAGCGATCTTCTATACAACAGGTTTCAGAAAAGTCCCTTGTCTGTCGCGTAAATGTCAAACAAGCCTTGGTGAATGTCACTGCTACCTATGCCTCAACAAACATGTAGTGAAAACAACGAAGACGCTTTCTGTGACTGGTTGCAGACAGCTGTTAATAGTCTGTCGCGCAATGAAGCCGTAGTTCCCACATTAGAAATTAACGTGAAGGTGGACCAGTTTGGATCTATTCGATAGCAATGTCAAGGCACTGCCAGATGCTGCCGAACGCGTACGCAGGTTGCAGACAGTGGGACAACCCTCCGATATGCGGGGCAGCAGCGAAACAAACGCAGAACCCGACGAGTAAGCAGTCGTGGACAAAGTAACGACAGTATGGCGATCAAACTTCTAAGTTGGCTTCAGAAAATACCGCAAGGCGCAGTGACATAACGAGTACATACCCACCAAACAGACACGCTGCTAACCCCTACGATCCGCAGTCGGTCCCAACCCCGACTGAGAAAGGCAGGTTGACGTCAGGCAGACAGTTGGCCATAAAAACCAAGGCCAAAGCTAAATATGATGAATTAACCTACCTCAAGAAAGAATCCCAGGGCGTTTCCCAGAAGCGATGCACAGCAGGAAATCCCGGCGGCTGTGAAAAATAAATAACATAACCAGTTGTTGCGACGACGGCAATCACAAGGGAAGAGATTGAAACACGCTGAAAACGAATCGAGAGAATTCAAATAGCCACTTGAAACAATGACCAGAAAGGACAGGGGAGCACGGAAGTTTTTCAAAGAAGAAACGTTCAGAGAACTTGCATACGAGAGATGGAATGGAAAGATGGGAAGTCAAAAAATTTGGCTGAGCCATAAACTTGTTTGTAGAAAATCAAGAAGAAGAAATGAAACTGTAGTAGTATTGAATGAAGCGACAAAAAAGAGGATATTCAAAGTCAACTGAATTAACCACAGAATCACAGGCGTTATGCTTATTTTGGAAAGTGCTAACTTTCAACATAAGTGTATAACCCCTTAAATTCGTCAGAATGAAGACGAAAAGTTGACATTCTGAGAGAGCCTAGACACTGAAACAGGAAATCGTACCGCTACCGCAAAACGAAATACAATAAATGACAGTGACCTTAACGGGCACATCGAGAAACATCAAAAGGGTCACAACAAGATCCATGGCTCAGATGAACAAGGTATGTTAAATAAAGGACAGAACATCTCGCAGGTGACAGTTGCATATGATCTGGCTCTGATAAGCACCTTGTTCCAGAAAAGAGAAAACTACCGGATAATTAACGTACAGGAACGGGCAGAAGAAATGCCAAATCGACTACTTCCTGCTCCGAGGGAATGAACTTAAGAACTTCAGGGACAAGGCTATTTTCGGAGAACTACAACTAGTGGTCCTACACATCTCTTTGAAACAATTCATTAGACAGTGGGTAGGACCATAGCTTTGAAGACAGGGGGTGGAAGCTCGAAAGGAAGCAGAAAAAAGCATTAAAAAATTATGAGAAAAATGAAGAAGGAAGAACTGGAAAAGGAAAGTGGACGGAATATGGGAGCGAGTGGCCAGCACAATCACAGGGAATGCCAAGGGATCTAGTCGGAAAAACAAAAAGGACGATACACCTCCAGAAAGACACCTTGTGGTGGAATGCGGACGTTCTGTTGCAATCCTACGACAGAGCTGTTCAAGAAATGCCAGCTATTAAACAGCGCGAAAAAATACACCATATCACAGAGCGATGCAAAAAAAGTCGTCGCTGAAGCAAAATCTACAGCGTGCATGAGCTTATACAAAAAATGGCAACAAAGGAAGTGGAGAAAGACATCTATCGCATAGCAAAAGCCAAAGAAAGAAGAACCAGAGACATTGGTAATGCAAAGTGCATAAAAGACGAAAGCGGAATGGGGCTGGCGGATGAGAAAGATATTCGCAACCGATCGCGAAGGCACTTCTAAACGCTGCTACACGGAGACCATCCCAGAGAAGTCGCGAAAGAAATCCCAAAAAACCAGGGCCTAGTCGAAAAGGTCTCACCGGAGGAGCAGAATGAAAAATAGAGGCCCTTGGCATGGACGGAGTTTCCATAGAAACATGGAAAGCACCGGGACAAGAAGGCGTAATTTGGCTACGCGTGCTATACCGAGTACACTGGAAATGTGGTTCACACACTAATACTGCCAGGGAAGAAACGAAGAGGAAGACCAAAGAAAAGATGACGCGATGTCCTGAAAAACGATATGAAACTGCGGAGTCACTGAAGATTTTACAAAAGACAGAAACATGTGGAGAAGGATGACACGATTAGCGGATCCATGTTAAAAAGAACATGCTAGGACAAAGAAGTGTCCAGTTGGGAGTGGGAAACTTCGATGGTACTTACAAAGACTTTAAAGAAGTCGTTCTTTCCATAGCGGAAAATATAGTTGAGGTCACGAAGAGAGTAGGGAAACTGCTCTGAGTTACGGAGAAAATAGCAGGCCTTACAGAACAGAGGAACGAGGATAAGGAGTAGTAGCAACGCCCTGCTGTGCCTTCGAAGGAAACCCATTGTCTCTCGCTCCTGCGGTCAGTCAGGGTTGGAAGGGTAGAGGAAACTTTGGCTGGATGGAGGAGGGGTGAAATCGGAAAGAACGATAAGGCAGCAAAAAAAGGCGACTTGCAAACAGCGCTCGAAGAAGTACGACAAGTGTCCCATAAGCATATAAGAAGGAACTTCTTAAAAGATGGGTTGAGAATTTTCAATTGCTGTCCTGAAGACTTCCTTTTCCCGTCGTTAACTTTCTACCGGAATCAGCGATTAGTGTACAAGCAACTACAAAAGTAGAAGTAGTTTTGCACCTCAAAGTAAAGAAGGCCTGTGCTGTGGATCAGATTCAACCGGAGTTAATCAGATACGGCGGAAGAGGAAATAGAAAAACTTCATACCTTACTCGGTAAAACGTGGACCTCGAAGTCCTTTCCTGAAAAATTTAAGGTTGGCGTAACTGCCCCAATATTTAAAGGGAGAAGGCCAACTTAATGCTCGAACTATCGTGCTATTACCCCGATGTTTACACCCAGGAAATTGTTTCTTCGATTATAATGGAACGGCTGACGTAGGCAGTTAATAGAAGACTTAACGGAAATCAATCAGGCTTCTGGACGATGAACTGAAGCCCTGACCACATTTTCACTGTTCACAGATCATTGAGCAATTTCTTGCCTTGGTTGGCCAGTTTCTTGGACTTTAAGGTTGCACATCGTCTGACGATTTTTAAAATCTTGAAACGCAACGGGATATCCGAGCACATCGTTTCTCTTTTGGAGCAGATGCGCGCCGGAACCATATTCGCTGTCAAAGGTGAAGGAGAGCTATCTGAATGGTTCCCTATTAACTGTGGAGTCTGTAAGGGAGATATGCTTTCGCCGCTGTTATTAAACATTGTTCTGGTTTCTTCTCCGAAACTGCTGATTCTGGCAAAGGTTTCATTCTAGAGAAAGCGAAGATCAGGATATTCTGGTAGACATCTTACTGACCTAGAGATGCTGACCTGGTAAACAATACACTGAGCGAATTCTGTCATCTCACGACTTCCATTTGAAACACAGGAGCAGATGCAGGCCTCTTAACGCCTGAAAGTCCGAAGCTATGAGGAACCCCTCAGACATGGCTGATCTACTAGTGGAACAAACAGAAGGCACAGAGAAGATGAACCAGTTTAAGTATCTCAACCCAATCATCTCGAAGGATGGCACTATCCAGCAACAATTAAATAGGAAAATCGTTGAGGCATCCAGTGCAACTAGGACTAACGGAGGAAGAACAACGGTTGAAACATACAAAGACGTTGGCTTAGGTGCATCATGAGGATTAAGTGGAAGGACTATGTAATGATAACTCCACTTTATCACATAGGTACACGTGGTGACAATTAGGTATAGATTAATACTGTTAGACAAACTAGTTAAGCAGACGCCATCTACTCCAATCAGTGCGCCTTTTGTGTGAGAAACGAGACAGCAAACATCGGTCAGGAGGCCAGCCTGCAACCTAAGTCAACAAGACAGCGGCGGATCTGCTTTAGGAGAGAATTATTTCCTTCTAGCCAGACCCTTAAAACCAAAATTGTAAGACTGACAACAAAACAAACAAGCTCTGCGTATGCAAACGGCTTAAGTTAGTGATCGCATACACAAAAGGGGTAATGACCATTCAGAATGAATGAAAGATTAACAGTTTTGCACTTACACTCTGCCGCAATGTGGGCATTTTGCGAGACGCTTGTTCAGCACATTGTACTGCAAAAATGAGTAATTTATACCAGAGTTCAAACAGCAAACATATTACCATAAATATTTCATCACAATATGCACAGCTGATCCTTTGGGTTCCGGGTGGAGCACGAACCGCTCTGCCGATAGGACTCAAACCGAGGGTTATTACCCGCTTACTAAAAACAGCTGAACATTAATGACTGGACCATATCGATCGGCTGCCAGTTATTACCAGTTCGCTCGAGGACAAGCGATCCTACTGGACGACTGGTTGCAAATCAAAAGGCAGTTACAGGGGCATCGGACGTATTTTCGACCCGGTGGAGGTGGTCTAATAGGCTAAAATGTGAAATATGACAATAATGAAAAATAATTTTTAAGCATGGAAATACGAGTAGCTACTCACAAATATTAAACATTTCTGCATGAATGGCAATTAAAAGAAAATTTAAAGGATAAAAAACGCTGACGTTCACAAATACTGGAACACAAGTATTTTTCATGTATCATTTAAATAATTTAGCACACACCGATGAATGCGCAATCACTCACTACACTGGAAAAATACTCATAATCCTCCCTCACCCTAATATGGGTAGTAAATCTGCACTGGCTGAGTTAGACTTGGTTTGATCGAGTTCGGTTTGCAACGAGAGAAAAGTGTCTGAGTTGCGACACAACAAAAAGTACTGAAAAGGCACAAGATGCAACTCCGTCAAAGCAAAAGCGAAACAAGAGACTACTACGGCTCATCATAGCTCAGTGGTAGTAGCCAATTGGAGCTATACTAATACATCGCTTCAAGTAAATTCTTGCGGCTCCGAGTATGCTGAGCAAATGTTGCTGGCACTCGTTTAAGCGATTATCTTTAGCGATTTTATCATTATATATATAGAGCTGTTAAATAGCAAATTGTTTACATATCAATCAGCAAAAAAGTCGAATTTACCGTTGCTTCTGTGCACTGCGGGCACTTTACCACATGCTGGTGAGTTTTGCCGGATATGTCGATAGATGCATGGCACACCCGACATGTGATCGTTGGAACCGTAACTGGAGGTTCCGTGGAAACGCCGTTGTACGCGAGGGTTGGCGGTTCCTCCAGCTGTTGCGAACTGCTTTCCGCATCGGCGGAGAAAGCGACATTCTTGTTATCGGCAGGTTTCCCCTTCGCGGCTGCCTGCTGTTTCTCAGAGTCAAGCAAAGGAGTCTCTTCAGTGCATCTGTTGTCTTGTGACATTCAGTAAAACTTGGTTCAACCTACAAGCAATGTCAAGAATAAAATATGAAGGCAACGGTAAGCACACCTCGACGATTCTCACAAGAATTATCAGGGATTTAATTCATTTTCTTATTTATCCACTCATTCATTTATCCACAAATCTATCTATTTTCTAAGCCCACCAATCCTTTCGGATTATGAAAATAAAAGCTTCAGTTTTCTTCTACCATCGCGATGTTTTGACGTTCGCATAAATTGACTTCCAAAGCACGCATAACCTATTATGGAAGAGGTTTATTAAGGCTGTCATATCTGAAATTTTTAAGCATGCTACAGTATTTTTATTCAGGTAGAAAATAACACTGCCACGACATTTACTGTCATTTCTTCTGAACTATTTAGGTTTGACTCGCGACATGAACATAAAGGCAAAAAATATTTGTCGCGGAAACCGTCGATATATTATGACAATACTTGTCCATAATGGGTTAATACAACTGCGCCATCTTCGATATGTCATTTGTCTGCGATTCTGCTACGAGAATTTGCAAGGTGACGGGTGGCATTATGCATTATATTTTTCCAATGTTCACCATCTGCGCAGTATGACATAAAACTTTTTCCTGTTTAATTAGTCCAAAGTCAGGATCTCTGTTTATATATTCAATGAGCCCTATCCCTTGTTCATAAATTAAAAAATTTAAGGTTTTCTTTCAAAATTAATATCAACTGTACCCCTTAATCTTGTCAAATGGTCTTAACCATTAATGTCCTAATGGTTAATGGTCTTAACGACCTAAAATCCCTATATGCTGATAAACAACGAACCGTATCAACTCGTTCTGAACAATAAGAAAGGGATTTAGCAGGAATTTCTAACAGACTTGTATTTTCTCTAGGTCCTTTCGTGAAAAGCGAATTAAGGTCAAAAAAGTGATCGCATGCCGACATAAAATGTAGGCTAATGTGCACTTATTACGACAAGCACGAAGAATTCGATGATAGGCAGCTACACAATGGCCACGGAGTATTGATATATTGTTTTATACCTCGAAAGAAAGCCTGCAGAGACGAAGGATGCCCTGGTTACCAAGCCAAGTAATGAAATCAGTGTAACTCTACTTTACTGTGGTACGACCACACCAGAACACCCTAATGATCGAAAGGTAATGCTATCCATTTCTGAATTGATTCCACAGACTTACTGCCGCTGTTATACTTTCTCCCTCTTCACAAATTGTTTGAGAATGATGTTTTGCTGAGGTCATACTAAAATGCGCAAAACAGACATGCTGTTTCATGTGACCACCCCTTTGGGTTGCATAAAGGTCAAAAACATAGCCACAGTGCAACAGAATTGAAGGTGGTGAACCTTGTTCTGAACAAACATTGTTTCCTACGTATAATCAAAACATTACAAAATCAGATTTCGCGTCAACATCTCCGATTTCCTGGCCGGAGGAGAAAATAAGATCGAAAGGAGCGAGAAAGAGTGAGTGGCGACCAACGCTCAACGGAATGCGACAATCGTCCGGTAAGCAGGGAACTCGGTCTGTCCTTATAGAAGACGCTGCGGGTGTTTCATTGGTAGTTGAGAAGGAGCCTTTCAAAATATGAGGTGAACATTTCCAACAGATGCTCAACGACTGCTGCCCAGAATCATAATTTCTGACGGATAATTATTTGACAAAACTAGATGTTAGTACAGACTGACGCGGAAAAACTGAAATCCAAAAACCACTGTTACATCTCAAGGTGAATAGGGGCCTGAGGGGTGGACTGAATTCCTCCGCAGTCAGTTATGTTGAAACGAGAAGAGTAGAAAAGCACCATGCCCTGTTTCATAAAGTGCAGACCTACAAACGTTTCCCAGAAAATGGAAGTGAGGGGTAAATGTCCCCATATTTAAAGATGGTGGGGTCATCGAATGTTACGGTTATTGTGATATCACACTACTATCAACTCCCGAGAAACCTTTTTCATGGATCATTCTAGAAAGCAACTTGAGGCAAGCAAGAGATAAGGGACTTCACTCAAACCAAGCAGGCTTCCAAATAGACTACTTCTGCTCCGGCCAATTTTTCACTCTGGAGAGGATTAGGGAGCAATGCGAGAATTTCTGCCTTTTGCCCCTTGCCTTTGTTTGATTGTTTAATCGACTTTAAGGCCTTATTTAATTTGCTATATCGCACGAGGGTGTGGACAATCTAGAAATACTATGGGATACCGTTCATATTTTGCAAGAGATGCATGCAGGAACCATGTCAGCTGTTAAAGTTGAAGTAGAGCTATGTGAATAGTTCCGTATTAAAAGTAGAGCTGTAGAAGATGCGCTTTCGCCTTTGCTATTCCACATTGTTCTCGACTTTCTTCTCCAAAATATTGCTGACCCTGCAAAGTGAAGGCTTCATTCTAGAAGGAAGGCGCAATTCAAGATATCCGGCTAGATATCTTGCTGAGGTCACAGATGATATTGTTCTGGTGAACTTAGCGAGGGTCTATCAACTAACGGCAATAGACCTGCCAAAGCTGGTCTCTTCCTTAAAGCTAGGAAGCCAAAATTTATGAGGAACCCATTCGGCACAGATGATCTACAAATGAAAAAAGAAGATGAAGCCCTCTGCGAGGTTAACCATTTTAAGTATCACGGCGGCAACATCTACAGAGATGACACTATCTAGATAAAGATAAATAGGAGTGTGACCCTAACTTCGAGCGCTTTTGGAAATGAGCTGAAGAAAGCAGTTACTCTCGCAACGAAAGACAATTTCTATCTAGCCTCGATTAGGTAATGGTAGTACGGTGTGGAAACACTTTTTCTACAGAGGGAGCAAGAAGAACGGTACAGCTGTGTTGACTTCGACGCATAGTGAGGGTTAAATAGCAGGACTGAATAAGATATAAGTTTTCTCTTCTGGATACAAGTGGTCTTGATAGATATGGAGATTAACAAAATGAGGTTAACAGTGGGTGAACAGAAACCATTTACTCCAGCCTGCAAGCCTATTTTCTGAAAGCGGAAGAGCGGTAGACGTACTCCAGGAAGCTCGCGACCAAGCTGGAGAAACAAAACAGAGGCAGACCTGCGCTGAAGGAGAGAAATCCATCTGTGACGGAATAAAAAGCACCATATTACAAAAGTGATGAAAAAACGCGGATACAGCGAATGTCAAAAACTACAGATATTCCGCTGAAACAAAGGGTTTAAGACGATAATCTCAAAACAACAGCAACCATCTTTCCTGGCAGGACAAAACTGATTCCGAATCAATCATGAATGTCGTCATCAAGGTCATACACATTCTGGTTACAAAGACAAATTTCACCAAACAGAAATGAAACTCCGAAAAGCATAAGATCGAGTAAGAGAAACTCAGTCAGGGAACAATTACGTAAATCGTAAAGAGGATATAATTAAACAATGTCCCGAGGAAGAAATAAACGACACTACATACATTAAAGAACAAACTATAGAGCCAAATGTTATATTATTTTTGATGAACACGAAGTAAAATATATAACAAGTTATAAATCGACACAGAAACACGAAGTAAAATGAATCTAAGCCAAAGTCTAAACGGAAAACTGGCAAACTAAAATAACGACCGTTCAAAACACCACTGAAACTTCAGACCCGCAGCGAAATATTCAGTTCGTACAAGGGGTACATGGAAATTTTGGCATTTGATCTGTTTGTTCTGTGACCCGTAGTAATGGTAGTGCAATAGCTTAACTATACTACTATGTCGTGAGAGCAAAAGTGCGGTCGAAAAGGAGGTGATAAATCTTCTGATTCCATGGTCGGCAGCAAAGAAAAACAAGCAAACTTTTATTTTCAAAGATTGTAACCTTTATACAGAATTGGCATCGGTCATAAACAGGGAAAGTTTCAAATTTTAGTCTGTTATTTTAGTGTTTGCAGTGTGGCATAATTTTTCCTCGTTGTCTCGTTATGTTCTGTGTACGTTTTACGTAGTTCTTACCCGGAGGAGATTTTATTACTCCATCCAATGGCTTTTGAATCTACCGTTACTATTTTTCGAAAATTGGCTTTGTAATCAATAAATGTCTGACTTTGATAACGACATTCATGATTGATTCGAAATCAATTAGAAATCAGATCTATCACATTGATGTCATCAAGGACACGGTATCGAAATAAGCCTTTGAAATTATTTATGCAGCGGATATGTTTAGGCAATATCTCTTAATTTTAGTTTGACATTTTATGCTACTTTGTAATCAGTTGTAATATTTACTAAAGAATAAACAGTAAGCTGATCATAATTCTGAACATGTCAAATGATGAATGATTCATCCAAGTCGGAGTTAACGATATATTACAAATCCCTTGCATTCGGTTGCTTAGTAGGCATTTAAGCATGCTATGGCTCCATTTGTCTAAGCACCTACAGTTCTGCCGTGGCATTTGGTATTGGATAAGCCTTTATTAACTCGGGCGAACGAACCGCTTATAATGTTGATGCGCCAGCGTATAAAGGCAACTCCTCCTGAAATATCGTTGGTGATGAACGTGAGGTAGCTCTAACGGACGTAATTATGTGATATGTGGTCAAATGCGATGGTACCATAACCTACTCAAATGGCCTCCT